TCTCTTATTTCCACCCGGTCAATTTTGCGTCAAAAATAATTTTGCCTGAAACTCTGTTAACAGAAAGACTTTACCTAGGAAAGAACTAAATTAGATTTGGTTTGATTCGAAATAATTTTCTGACTGCACTACGGGCCATAATTATTTCCCAGTCCGTAGGGACCGTCGCAACGTCTCGAAAATTGAAAAATAGGCATATTTTGTAACGTTGTAAAATATTTGATTCGCATAGTTAAACCACAGAATTTATACCCGATTGCTTAAAAACCTTTCTAGTTTGCCAACAAAGTTAGAATTTGCCCTCTCAACATATTTGAAAAGGCGAATTTTAGCATATTCTGACCACTAGAAATCGCCATCGGCCGATGGCCGTAAATAACCTTGATTTAGACGCTAAGTTTTGGGATTTGGGACCTGGTTGACGATTCTATCCTACACAGCCGTTAAGTTTAGACCTTTATTGGCAAAAATGTGCAAAAACCCTTGTACGTTTTCGATTTTTCAAAAGTTATGACCGTTTGAATCAGCACATGTACGAGCATTCGCGATTTTTTCGCCTACACCAAAATCGAACCACTGGAGTAGATTTCGTCATAAATACAGCTTACCCGCTTTGCAGCCCGGCTTCATGGCTCACTTCAGAATTTTTCTAATAACCAAATTGGTGAAATCCATGATAACTTCAACAAATAGCTAGGTATTGCCTTCGAAAAGTAGGCGGCATCCATCGTGATTCGTGGTATCAAAACAAATGCCGGAATTGGCCACATTTCGCGGTGAATCACCCATTTAACATCGCTGCAGAGCTGAATTTTTACCAAAATCAGAATATAAACTCTCCATGTCTGGAAGCTGAGGGAGAAATGAAGGTTTTAGGCTTCTGAAGTGAAGAAATAATCGCTTAAATTTAGATCCAGTTCGATGTTATACTGTTCTCACAAAGGTCCGCACAAAAGAGAAGACCGCTGATAGCTTGTGCCGTACGTTGTGCCATATGGTTTTGTTTTGTATCCCAATGTAATATTTGGGCAGAAAAATTTTGGATGAAAAGAATAAATGCTTTTACCTGGAGTTTGATATCATATAATTAATAAATCAATTTCAAATATCCTGAGCTTGCTTCTCTCGGTTCCGTGTCGATTGTGTCCACAGAACAGCAACCTGTCAATAGCCGGAGAAATCATGGGTTTATTTGACACTAGGCTAGGGCAGAGGAGAATCTCTATTTTGGCCTTAAAACGGCCTTAACATTTAACCGTTAGGCGTACAAGTTGGCAATTTTTAATCGTTACTGAATCGTTAAAAAAGTTAAAAATAATCCTGTAGTGGTGCGCCTAAATCAAAGTTTCCAGGTAGTTGCTGTCCTAAGGCGGGCAGAAATACTTTTTAAAGGAAAGATATATCGCATTTCGAAAGTTATGATGAATTTTTCAAAAACGAAAAGAGCACGGATTGTGCGATAAACAAGTGAATTCTTTAAACGGTTAAGAATATATGAAGGTCATATATTTGAACTGCGGATAAAGACATGAATGAAAGTGATCTTCGCAGTGATATGCACTACTTAGGCAGTAGTGAAAATTAGGCCTGAAAAAAAAAAATTCAGGCCCGTACGGGATTTACAACAAACACAGCTGTCGTCCAAACTGCATCTCAAGTGTCAATATCCATCCCCACTTTGACTGGTATATTTTTTCTTCCTCTTTTTTCTGTAATTCTGGTGCATTTTCAACCATGATTGAAGAAAATTTCGCGCTATAGCTCTTTCTCCCACCCAAATCACCCAAATGTCAGTCTATGAAATTTCTCTTACAGAAAAGGACGAGCCGATGCTAATGACGATGGGATTCTGCATTGTAATTGTACTGTGCATGTGCTACGTGTACGAAGTTTTCGCTCAACAACGCAAGGAGGATGAGCATGCCATTTCCGGTATGATGCTGTGAGGACAAACCTTCAGGACATTGAGATCATCGATTGCATTTGAATGCCATCAGGCATGTTACAATGATTTCAGGTGTCACAGCTTCAACTACGTCATTTCAGAGGAAGTATGTGAACTAAACAACCGGAGTAATAAGAAAAGAGGTGAGATTGAACGAGAAGCAGCCTTAGCGCTGGTGTTCATTGAAGTAATTTGAACCTGATAAAACTATTCTCTGTCTTCAGTTCCTCTTGGCTCCATTCCTGAATTTCCAAAACATACACTGAATAACCCAGTCCAAGCAAGATACATTCGATTCTATCCGGTGACCTTTTCTGGGTACCCTTGTATGAGGATCGAAGTGTTCGTGCAATAAAGAAGTAGATCAACAACAGGGCAATTTTTCTGCATGAACCCTCCTTGGTCTTGTATAATGGAATGGTACAAGTGTTGGTGAATGCTTTAAACAGCCAGACGTGGTATAACTGTGGAAGTATTGAAAAGTTTTCAACCGTTTCTTGCGTAGTTTTACGGGCCGTTTCCCGAAGGTTCCGATAACTTAACTGGCCGCGAGCTGTTCTGTTTTTATTCAAGATGGGGGTTTTGAAAATTATACAGAAACAAAATTGACTGATTAGAGTATCAGAACCTGCTGTGCTAATCTTAAAATTCTGATTAAAAAATATTGCCACGGGTCCGTTAACGGAACTTTTGAGAAATAGGCCCCTGGACCCGAAGAAGAGTTTTCAAATGGATGGTAGGTTTTTCAAGTAAAAAAAAGAGGAGTATGAAAGAAACCAATAAGGTTATTCGTTTTGATTATCGGAAAGTAAAGTGTAATAGTCTATTAAAAAGATATACGTTTGCGAAAGTTTGCAAAGAAAGAAAGAGTTCCCTGTATTCCTTATTCAAAGCACAGACCGTGCAAGTGTGTACTCAAATTATGACCTGCTAATGATATGCTATGAGATTCAGTAACAGAAAACACATCTTGTATTCACTTTTCACATGTGAGATTTTACCAAACCACAAATCGACAGTGATAAGAGGATTAAGAAAGAAACATATTGAATAAGCATATGAAAAACAAACAAACAAATCTGCACGTTCATCTTCTGTCTTCGTCGTCACCACCAGACGAATCTTCCCCTACCTAAGACGAGTGTATGGAATTCATCAACAATATTTCCTTTATCACCTCTCACTTAAAGTGCTGTCCATAAGCATTCGACGCTAGCCAAATCCATCTGGGGCGCCTATGCGCGTGTTAAGTGACCTATATTGATACCGTTGCATGATAGTTTCCAAGGTAATCTTCCTGATTGACAGCCACAGCGAATTCGAACTACTGAGTTGGATATCATATCATCAAGGAAGCTTATCAAGTTTACAAGGATACTTCACTTGTTCTTAGAAACGATCTTCTTGGCTGTTAGCGTTTTGTCATTCTAAATGAAAAGATTCAAGATAGCAGGAGGGGGGAGGGAGAGAAACTTATTAGTTACCAGATAAACGCAACTTTTGAAGGACTGGTAACATGCGGATTAGGTTCGATTCTTCTAAGTGTTTTTGACCTTTTTGTTGCATCGATGATTTAAACTAAAATAGACAAGTATCGGGAGAATCATTCATCCTAACGACTACATTTTGCTCGTAAACGAACAGTGAAAATCCTAAAGGGGGTAAGTTTATAAAGAAACTGTAAGACTGCGTCGGTATTAGAAAATAACTTGATTTTATCGACTGATTTGATAGTGCATGTAAATCAATCATCGTAAACAGTTTTTACAGCTGACGTTTTGAGCGATAGCTCATCGTCATTCGCTCTAACGAAGGGTTAGCAATCAAGAGGTCAGCTTTACAAACCATTTACGGCGGCCATCTTACATTATCAACTCAGTTAATAGAACCAAATTATCATGAAAATCAGTATATTTTCAGGACAAATAATCAGCCTACGTGTAGCCACACAGAAGCGAGAGAACGTGTTACCTCGCCTCCGTTTCACCGTATATAAGAGGTGCAGGGAAACCGGGTTCCAGTCCACAGAATATTACCTGCCTATGAACTCAACACGGCAATTGACTGCCAACCCAGTAATAGCTTTTACAACCGATGGCCAGTTGCATTATTCAAACAAAAATGGATTTTTTACAAATTTGGCTGACTTTTTTATTTGCCTTTATTTCAGTAAAGCACAATAAGTTGCAAATGATTCATGGATGCTATCACATTAGACAAGAATCCAGCGCTAAACAAAGTATGTCACCAGAAGGACAGCATAATCAGTCATAATTTATGCGTCCGCCGTACTCTATTCGGAACGCTGCTTTATTCGGCATTTTACAGACCCCACGTTGGCGAAGTAACCTGCCCAGCCCTGATCGAAAATAGCCCGCGTTTACATTCCGTCTTACAACCCGGGATCTCGGGTTGGAGTTTCTCGAGGTTGTGGACGCGCTTGGACTGAGGGAGTTAAGATTTCATCACGGCGACGTGTGGTAAAACGTTAGCGTTTTGTTGAGTTCAAAGTAAAACCGCGACTTAATTGCTGACGAGGTTTCGTTGCTAAGAGGACGTAAAAATCGGTGTTTCACGTTTTAGTTCTGTATGGGACGGCTAGGAAATTTACAAAGTTTTAAAACACACGTGTTTCGCTATTACTTTGCTCATTTAATCTCTTTGATTTATTTTTATTACAGATTAACAGATGTCTTTCTTTACACCCCTTGTCATTTGGGTTGTTTTCCTTTTCATGCAATTCATTGGAAAACTAATATAGAACCTCGAATTAAATCTGAGATTTTAAAAGTTTACATTGGATAAATCAGGCTGAAGAAAGCTCTAGTTGGCCAATTTGCATCAATAGTCTGCATGCCTATGAAGTCCCTCTGTAAGGCCGGGCTCTTCACAAGGGCCAATCAAGGTGATTGTAGGGGCCTGCCACTTTAACCTGTAAACACAATAATCAGAACCCTGTGATTAAACGGCAAGGGAGAACAATAGAGTGCATGAATCGAGTCTGATTATTGAGATGGGAGCCAGCGATGAAGCATGAAATATAGAAAACAAAATTTTATGATAATTCGAGTGTACCTTGCACGGGTTGAAGGCTGACATAGTGCACCTCATGAATATGTCCCAGCACAAGAGGTTTGCTTTCGTCAACGGCACAATGTGGCGTAATGATTACATCATTGCCATGGGATAGACTGCTGACCACACGAATGCACGTTTTAAAGTGGTTCGCTGCGGCACACAGAATCACGTGATCACCCCAAGTGCCATCTTGTTCCATTTGTTCAAGGTACTCAGTCCATGTTTGATGTCCATGGACAAAGTGAAACAGATCTGTTCCATCCGGCTGTAAGAAGAATCAGTTAAAGAAGGAAACTTCAAAGGATTGTTGATAGAAACTTGAGCGCGTGGAGTACGAGTCAGGGAGTAATTTTATCAGAATGGTACGAGACGACCTTTAATTAGCAATGTATTGCATAGTAACAAATTGTGTGCTTGAAACGTCTTTTAAAACGTCCGTATATATTCCAAAACGCTTTGCAAACAGCAAGAAAACAACAAGAAAGATCCATCATTAAGAGAATGACTAGAATTCTGTCATCTGATGGAGGTTTAAATGGAACTTTTTTGAAACTTGGTTATATTCTAATGACCAAAACTGTGGTGGCCTACTTCTTCGGAAAAGAAATTAAGTAACATATGAATTTAACTGTAACCAACGTCATTGTGTGGCTTCTTAAATCATGAATTTGAATCTTTCAAGTTCCCCTTTCCACCAGGGATTTAAGCTGGTATAAGAGCTCCTCAAGAAAAGACCATCATTCCATACAGGAAGAGTAACAGTACTCCTGGCCACTTCACCCTGTGAACACTGGGATAGGTTCTAGTGGTGTTGGCCAAGTGGCCTGTATTATCACTAAACCTTTATCATACTCTTAAAATAACATCACTTGACATACTCTGTTAGACATACTAACATCAACTTACAAGTTTTGGGTTACTCCTGAGATACTGAACCAAGTTTTGTCTTAATTCGCCATGTGGGATTTTGATTCCCTTAACAATTTCCAGTTGTTCGGACAAGGCATAGAACATGCAATTTCCTAATCCTTCATTGTCAGATATTCTGAAACCCCTGTCTGATGCAATATTCCTCAGCCCCAATGATAGATCTGTTCTGCTCTTGACTCTGCTTGCATCGAGTTGCATCTGCCGAAGTTCCTGGATGATTCGGTCAAGAGAACCTAGAAAAGACAAAGTTCCTATTAATCTAACAGCATGAAAGAAGCGAAAATAACACAATCCTCAATCTAGTACGAGAAACTTTGAGGTAATAAGAAAAAGAACGGCTTCAACCATCAGACTTCTACTGTTTTGTCCAGAAACTCAGCTTTGAAAAGGAAGCTCTTACTGTTATTTAAGTCACTTTTTAAGTTCGATATCTGCCCGTGAATGAATACACTAATAATCAAGAGAGAAGAAGCAGACGAGAAAAATTAAGGACAAGGTCTAAGCTCTGACATATCTGTGTAACTGGAAAAAGGAATCCTGGAAAAAAAATTACAGGCTTCAAAAATATATTGATGTATTTCCTCTACCGTATGAATATGTGATTACTACAATATTGTGTCAAAAGACGACTGCATTGTGAATAGAACATAAACCGGTTTTGAGAGGAGCAGCATATTGAACTTTGGTCTCGTTTTGAGAAAAAGTAAAAGAGTGCCCCAAGTATTCCTGGTTTAGACAATTTATGGTAGTTTCCAATTGAAATGGGATGAAAACTTTAAATTAATAGAAGAAACAAAGAACACTAAGTCGTCCGTCCGGATCAGAAAGTGAAAGAAAATCAAATTTGTTTATACAAGTCTTACGTTTGTGACTGAAGAGTGCAGGAGTATAATTAAAAACATGTCTCATTAGTAAGAAACGTTATCAAAAGTACCTCACGAAGTTTTCACGAAGCATTGCAGGCCTGAAGTCGAAAGTTAAGAAAATAAAATCGCAGGATCTCCTTGTAATCTTCTGTACTTCTTTAGGGATGTCAATTATCGTGTGTTATTAATATATTATTACTCACTTGGATTCAGTAATGAATCCACTGTTAGTTGTTCGGTTGACGTATCAACAACTTCGACCTGCCGAGCTCTGAAACTTGTGTCTCGTCTTTTGGAAGCTAAAGAGATAGAAAGAAACTTTTATCTTAACATCACAGTAAACAAGAAGATAAAACGACTGATTACTATTCATGTTTAACATCTTTTTTATACGAAGTGTTCATGCTTTCCGTCACAGTTAAAAGAGACCGAAAGCCGAGTATCCCCCTAAAACACTATAAAGGATATTGAAAACATTCTCACCATGAACTATGTCGAACATCTTGTCCACAAGACGGTCACACTGTTTTTCCCAGCTAAACTTCTCTTCATATGAACTCCTCAGCTGCTGAATATCTCGAAGTCGAACTGATCTTTCCTTCTGTCGGACACCAGAAATTGCCTTTGCCCACTCCTTGGGGTCCTCAAACTCCACCACGAATGATTTGCCCGATGGTAAAGTGCACAGTGCTTCACCAAATCCTGAGTTTTTACTGACAAGAATGGGAAGACCGGCAGACAATGCCTCCAACGCTGTCAAACCAAAACCCTCTGTTCTAGAGGGCATGATGCAAAGATCAACTTCACAAAATAATTCTTTCAATCCCTCTTTACTTTGCATGAACTTCCTCACGGTCAGCTGGTTTTTATCAATTCCACTCTTCAGTAAATTGTCTGCAACCTCATCCTGTTTACCGTCAGGTGCACCCACGAAAATCAGATGATAAGACATGTCTTTCAGTTCAAATATTGCTTTAGCAGAGATATCGTAACCTTTCAAGCTGAAGTCCTCTGGGTCACAACGGCCAAACGTCAGTACCCTGAAGTTGTTACGCTCCTTCAGGGTTTGTTTTACGTCAAAGAACTCACCGAAAGTTCCAGGAGTCAGTTGAAGGATTTCGTCCTCACTTTTGCATGAGCAGAGCTGAGGGGAGAAAGCCTCTGTTAGCTTTGGTCCAACTGCTAGCACAGCATCTGCCAACTTACACAACGCCACTTCGATTAAATTCTTCTCCTGACCCTTGGCAATAGCACTGGGAAAGTCTTTGAACATTGCAAGTTCTTCGGGTGCAGTGTGCACCACCTGAATCCACTTGCAATTGTGAGACTTTCTGATAACTTGGGCTTGCTTACCAAGCTTTGCACCATGACCCAGCACAAAGTCAATGTCAAGGTCTCTTGGTGGGAAACTCAACCATTCAAGAGGATCACTGAAGCCTTCAAGTTTCTCGGCTTCCTGGATGGAAACATTGTGACTGGATGCCATTCTCCTCTCTTCATCAGTACAGGCAAACTGTGGGACAAGGAGAGTAACGTCCAGTTCAGAGCGTTTGGCCAACAGAATGGCAAGCTTTCTGTTGATGGTGGACAAGCCCCCCATTGACGAACTCCATTCACTGCCAAGGAGAGTCACCTTCAATGCTGCGGCACACTTCTTTGGATTGATTTCACTTGCTTCATCATGTGATCTAGCAGCTACATTTGAAGAGGACAACCCCTGAAGAAGAAAAGGGTCATATAAGATTATGACTACATTGAAAAAAAAGTTGTAACTACATTGAAAAAACTTTGGTTGTGGCCATATAAATTTTAATTGATCAATACTTTACCAAGGTAAAACGAAGAAGTATAGAATTCAAAAATAATTTCATCTTATCACAAATTCTCTGACTCATATTTAAAACGGAAGACAACCTATTAGGGCTCCCTTTCTCAACACTGATAACAGCCCAATTGATATTCACATCAAGTAAATTAGAGGAGCAAAGCAAACATGAAACTGAGGCTAGAAATCTTTGCTTGAAAGATCATTACAGTCAATTATACCTGGCTTCTTCTTTTCAAGAACCATTTCTCCAATCCACAAACTGGTTCTACCATATCCCAAGGTTTTCGCTTACAGATGTCCGGCTGACCTTCATTTGCATCAATGAGGTGGAGGCAGTCCTTGTGTGTGCAAGTGGTTTTCATGTGGTCTGAGCATGCACGACGTATTTCTTCTGTCCCTTGATGACAGTTAGGACATGCAACACACAGCCTATACTGCATTCCCCTCAGGTATGGCATTTCTTGTGACAAATTCTTTAGGGTGTCTTCAAGAAATTCACGAACGAGAGTTGCTAATTTGACAGAGTTCTGTCCTACAACCTGATAACTTTGTGCTTTTTTTCTCAAGATTACCTTCACAAACCCTGTTTTGCATATGAGGACAAAATCATGAATATCTTTTCCAATGATGAACCATGCTCCATTTTGGTACAGAGTGGGTTGATGCGTGGCCCATGTCTTTGAACACCAATGAATGGATTGTGAGACAAGCTGCAAGAAAAGACCATGAGGGACAAAGCCATGGACAAAGAGGAGATACAATGGACATGGATCAGTTGATGATGGTTCCATCTTACAGAGTTCTACAGGTGATGACTTCAACTGAGCTGGTACAAAGTACTTCTCCTCATTTGGGGAAACAGAGAACTTAGCGATTAAACCAAATTGCTCCATCATGTCCAGGATGTCTTCTCTAATGATTCCTGGCCCAATAAAGCTGGAGAACACGTAATCAACATGTTCCATGCTAAGGATGCCACTTCCTTCAAGTTCCCGCCAGTAATTAGCATATTGAGCATTCTACAAAATAAGTGATAGTAATTCCAGATAAGAGAAGTCCACTAAATGTTCCTTTTGTATGTTTTCAACATGTATGTACAAGAACTAGAAAATAATGGTATCGAAATGGTTGGAAATTACACTCTTAATGTGCAATTTTGTATCTTAGGCTCCTCAGAGGTGATTATTAGTTGTTATTCATCACCACAGAAGCCATTTAGCGCAAGCAAAAAGGAACTGTTCATTTGTGTGACTACAATTATTGTTAGTGGTAGCAAGTTAGTGCAAGTCTCTTGTAAAGTAAAAAGGCTGAATCAGTTTATGACCTGAAAAGCTGCAAAAGGTACATGAAATAACTTGAGGTCCAACAATTGTAAAGATCAAAGAGTTACAGCTGCTGCATTAGTTGCTGATTTATTAAAAAAAAAAATTCCTCTCATTTTCTGTTGGTCTAAATTATTGAAAATTTCTAAGTTGTCCTTTCAAAAATGAATTTTTTTCCTACCTGTTTATTGAAAGGTGGTATGGTTATCAGCTGTTTGAACAGATCAATCAACCACTGAGCCTTCAGTACAACTGTATTGCGGTGCTTGATTATCATCCCCAGGCCATGGTAAAAACTGATCATGGACTCAAACTCTTTTGCATCTTTCATGAAACAATCTTTCTTTGCATAGTGCTCAAGTTGTTGAAGATTTCTGTGATAAATCTGTTTAGCCACCAAAGCTTCAATCACCTTTTCGAACAAAAACCATCTAGAAGGCAACATAATAATTAAAATGTTTTTGGGTTTAAAATTGGATATTAACTTCAGTCAGACATGTGCTTATTTGTAGTCTTCCAGTGGTAATTCATCTATTTCCTTGGTCTAGCTTTCTCCACACATTACAAGAGTTCAAACATCGTTCTATTTTTCACATAAACAATCTCAATTCAAAGAGTTGTGCCTTCTCAAATATGCATCAGACATTCGCACCTTTTTAAAAAAAACAATATTGTTACAATTTCATGAATTAGAGTTTTATTTGTTTGCACTTATATGGCTGCTGTGTATTTGTACAGTCTTCTGTTTTAAGAATTTTGATGAACTTCAAACTAATGGAGGTAAGATATTTTTGTGTTCATATACATTTATATGCATATACAGTAATGCTGAAAACACTGACTGCTCTTCAAAAACCTTTTCATAACCACTTGAATACATGAAAAACATTGATCCCAAAGTCCATGAATTGAGGTTTTCCAGATAAAATGTTACTTTCATTTACCTGACAGGTATTTTCTCCCCCATATAAGGCTCCTGCCTCAACACATCCAGGATTTTGTTCTGCAATTCTTTTATTCCATCTACTTTTCCTTCTTCCTCTGCTGGATATGTTTAGAAAATGAATGCAGAACATAATGTAACACAGAAACATGTGTTTACAATGAGAATAGTTTGTAGCATAGATTTGTGATTGCTGATATGTTATAGCTGACAACATAGCTAAGATGATAAACTCTTCAACTCCCCAAATCATCTTCTGTTCCTTATTTCAAACTCTGAAATTAATGGATCTGTCTGCAAAAATGTCTATGGCCTAGTATGGTGATGCTGGTACATAAAGTAACTGAAAGCTAAGAAGACTGCAGCTAATAAAAAAATTAAACAACTCTGACTTAAGCTTGCACTATAAGCCTGAAGTCATTCAACCAAGACAGTATCCTTCCCTTAATTACCACTCCCTCTTAAACATGCTGCATGTCTACCAACCTTTTAAAATTATGACACACAACACAACTGCTGGATGACATGTAAATGTAAGTCAAATAATAATTATTGAATGCTCAATGCTTGCCAACAATCTACATCAATCTATAAACATTGATATCAATTTACCACAACAAAATAGCTTTCCAGTTGCTGAGAATTTGTGATAATTGTTAAGCCTGCTAAATAGACAGGGTAGATGAACTGACATTAAGAAACAATAGCTTTTTCATAAGAGTTCCTGCTCCTTCTCCTTCTCCAAATATGTAAACAAAGATCAGGTGCACTGTTCTGATCAAACAAGATTGATGGCAGTATCATAGTCAAATGAATGGCTTCATTGGCTCTTGATGCTCTACGTTTCTACAACTGGATATTTTAACTCGTTTGTCCAAGAATGGGACAATTACTCACTTTCTATGATCATGGAAAAGATAAAACCAAAATAAGATATGGTCATTCTGCATTTCAAGAACTGGCAAGTATCAACCAAACGTGGGATTGATACTTCAAACTGCTCATAACAGAATGGTAAACAAACGGTTTAAAGTTTCTCTGGAATGTTGAGCAGATAGATTTTTTTTTTAAACAGACAACTGAAGGAAACTGTTTATACGTTTTTGCTACAGTGTTAAACAGATGCAAATTTTTTAAATGGACGCAAAATTTCTTAAACGGACGCAAAATTTCTTAAATGGACTAGCACAGCGCTTAAATGTTTTAGCAAAAGGGTTAGACGGATGCAATTTTTTTTAAATGGATGAGCAAATTGTTTAAACACTTTCATGAACCATTTAAATGGATTTAAGCAGATAGTAAACGGTTTTGCAGTTTAAATGAAAAGCATTAATGTCCATTTTCCCATGGAGGGTCAGAAATGGGTCTTTGATTAAACAAAAAAATGGTCACAAATTAAGTGTTCCAAGAATTGATGCAAAGACACGCTAGTAACCAATTATTAAACCATCAATTACTGCAAGTAACACATTGTCAAGGATACAATATGACATCAAATATCTTACCTGTTTCATGTTTTCCTCTCAGCTTTTGAATCTTCTGGATAAATTTCTTGATCAAGTTTGGCCTCTGAGTGTTGTCAATGCAGAATAAGGGTTTGACCACATTCTTCTCATATTCCATACCAGAAATTCTCTCCTGTATTTGTTTCTTTATTACTGCTATGTCTTCAACTGGTTTGTCAGCATGTGTTCCAACAATAAACACTGGGGGGCGGAGGTAGGGCAGCTTATGTTGTGCATCATCATCTGGGTCATCAGTTGCCAGCAGGGCAACACTGTGTACTGTAGCCAGCCATGACAGCAAATTCTCCATGTTTGTTTCATTGTTAGGGTTTTCCAATTTCACATCATTACTCCCTTGTCTCATGCAGGGCTCAGCTGTAGCATCCAAAGGCTTGCTGAGATTGTGCACCAATATGTACAGTGCTCGCTGTGATAAGAAGATAGGATGGCTGGCATAGTACAGGTGCTGCCCTGCAAAGTCCCATAAATCCATTGTGTAATAGGATTCTTCTTGGAATAAACCACTTTTGATGTCTTTGCCTTTGAAATACTCCAACCACTGATGAACATGCTTCTCAGTATCAGGGGGTTGAGCAACATCAATAATTACCTTGGGCTCCTCTAAAATGCAGTCCATTGAGTGTTCAATGCTAATGTTGTCCATAGCACCTATTGATGGGTAATCTCCTTTATCCTCAACCTAAGTAAATTATCAAATAAGGGGATATTATTAACTCTCAGTACCACACTGATGCAGTCTCACCAGCAAACTCATTACACATCTCAAATAACTGTGTCAAAGTTTGATGTAAATTAGATAAAATGAGAGTACATGTACTGGGAGGGAAATTATTGTTTAGACTTCAAGCAGTTCCCTGTTTTTTGGCTAAGACCACTACAAAGTAAAAAAAATCAGTTAAAAAATTGAACAATTTTAATTTTTGCTTCACTTTAAGGCTCACATAATCTTCATTTGACATTAAATATTTAAAACTATACTGTCATAAAAAGCTGCCTTAAACATGTGTGTGAAGAACATTTTTAAAATTCTGATATTACCTTTTTTTTGCCATGTTTGTAACTACCTAAAGATCCCTTTTCAAAATCTGCAGGTGATATGTGGGCTGAATCTTTTTCAAAATCTTCTTTTGAACTTTTATCTGAGTCTTTTTGTCTCAGCTTTTCTTGCTGCATAGACATTTGCATTTTCAGCTGTTTCTCTGCAACAATCTTTGCCACATCTTTAGAATATTCCAATAGTCCTGGTTTATTCTCACCAATGGACTGCCAGTTCCTTGCAGCTTGGTCAACATCAATTTCACACTTTGAAGGATCCACTTCAATCCCCTCGGTGCTCTGTTCTCCAGAGTCAAATGGAAGGCCTAGCAGACTCTTCTTTAAACTGGTTTTACCTGCTCGATCCTGACCAATGAGTAATATTCTGCCACGGTAAACCATGACACATCCATCTTGCAAAGCCCTTTCATAAGTCAGCTGTGCTTTAAGTCTCTCTCTCATTGGGCCTAATAAGAAAGAGTTTTAACAACACAAAGAAAAAGGTAGTTTGCGCATTGATAAATTTCTAAAAATTAATTGAAAAAGAAAGCAAACTAAAGGTAAAGGTTAACAAATCAACAACTATAAATGCCTAACATGAATAATGTTGGAGTTAAAGGCTGGTATATATAAACTTAACCATCAAAATTGTTTATTTTTTTCTGATCTTAATGCATTTATTCCACTATTACATAAAAGTTACACATAATAATTCTTCTGGCATAAAATGTAGTGATGAGTTTGAGAACATGCACACCAAATCTAAACTGACTCAATGTTTCAGAACAATAAAAATTAGAACCACTTGTGACTGATCACACAAGAGAGAGGCAAGGACTTAAATTAATTCTGCCGAGTAGTGAGGAGTCAATAACCAATTAATTGATTGTGTACAAAAAAAAAGCACATATTTCCAAAGGGTAACAACTGTAAGTTTAAAAATAATTACACAAAAAACACCTGCAGTGTAAATTCTATGGAAATAATAATCAGGATTCAGTCATGCTAATAACAAATTCAAGCTATATGCCTATAACTTAATTCACAAAATTTAATCACATTAGTTTATGAATTGTGTTTGATAAGCCACAAGTTACTAAATTTTTACACACTTCAAATTAACCAAATGGAAAGCAAAAATAAAAAAAAAAATTCCTAACAGTGAATTAACTTGGGATACATTTTATCATTTCGTAATTCCATTCCAATAGAAAGAAAACTCAAAACAATAATTCCTAACTGCGTAGAATGATTTGTAATAACATTTACTCTCTTGATTCCACATCAAATCATATTTCCTTATTGATGAACTTAAATTTCAATGTCAGCCAAATTGTTAAAATAAAGCTTTTCAATATTAGAACAAAAACTTCCATTACAAATGTCATGTATTTGTCAAGTGATGCCAACTTTGTTAAACCACACAAAAACTGTGACAGTATTTACAGTTTAACTATCGCCAGCTACCTGTAATAATCAGTAACAAGCAGAATAACCACTTGCAAGTCAATCATTAGAACCAATTTAGTAAATGCACACGTCACAACAATAATGTGAACAGAAATTTCCTTTACTCACCTTGGAGATCTGAATATACTCGGTCAATTATTCCTCTATCTTCTAGCTCCACAACACTTCTCATTCCTTCAACTGTAAAAGGATTCCCATTTGCAAACAACGATTTGAGTTTCTTCAGCTGTTTTATAGCTGGACTCAACACAGTCAACTGGTTGTCACTCAGATCCAGTCTCTCCAGTGCCACTATCTCACCAATAGCATCAGAGATGGTGGTTAGTTTGTTATGTGAGATGTTCAGACATTTGAGTTTCTTCAGCTGTTTTATAGCTGGACTTAACACAGTCAACTGGTTGTAACTCAGATCCAGTTCCTCCAGTGCCACCATCTCACCAATGGCATCAGGGATGGTGGTTAGTTTGTTAAGTGAGATGTCCAGCCCTTCGAGTTTCTTCAGCTGTGTCAAACTTGCAGGGAATATGGACAGCTGGTTTTCGCTTACATTAAGTTCCGTAATATTATATAGTTTTCCAACATTTTCAGGTATTGTTTTAAGTTTATTCCTTAACAGGTAAAGTTCTTCCAACTCAGTTAATTCCATCACCGCTTCAGGCAATTCAAGCAAATCCCACTTTGACAGATTTAATGTTTTTCTTCCGAAACGATTTGTTACAATCTTACTTCTCAAGTTTTCTTTAGAAATATGGGAATCCATGTCTTAGTAATGTAACTGTCAGAACAAAAAAAACAAGCTGTTATTAAAGGTGAGTAACTTGAACTAACTTTCTTGTGGCATTTATAATAACAATCGAACCAAAAATTTGCAAGAATGAGGTTTATAATTTAACATCTACTGAACCAAGGTAATGATTTATTCCTCGTAGTACATTATCTTTGGAAGCCATCCACCCTTCAGTGTTCTTTTAAACATTTTGAGTAAAGGACCGGATGCTTATGCGTAAAGGGTCTTGAGTTATTTATATTCATCAGAAACATTTCAACTTAAATCTAATTGTATAATTTTTGTGTTCATAAACAATTGCTTGAGTTATAGATGTTAACGAAAAGGCAATTATGAACAAGAAAGATATTTGAATTTAAATACACGGAGTTTTCCAAGCTGTTTTTCCAAAAACATACGAATTACTACTTCCATTTCAAAATTAATATCCAACAGGAAAGAAATAATTAGGGCAAATCTTTGGTTGGTTTTGTTTTCATGTGATAACCTAAGACAGTTGTAAATAAACCAAAGCATGAATGATTTCTAAGCTGTTGATATCAGACCAAGTTGCTAATTTTCAGACCTGTTGTTTGATTTTATCCTCTGTAAGCTATTTTTACTTGTAATTAACAGAGTGAATTCATCAGAATATGGTCCTAGTCATTTAATAAAGACTGATTGGATAAGTCCTTCTCACTGACATATTCACTGTTTTGATACAAAAATAATCAGAATGAGAGCTCTTTGTTTCGTTTCGTTTTTTTTTACAGAGTTTGTCTAGCAGCATGATGGTTTTAAGATTACAATTTTCAATTGAAGACATGTTTTGCATGAAATATCATCCAAATCACCCATAGTTGCTGTACTCATTATGTTATGTATTGAATGTTGTTGATGAAATAATAAAAATAACAAAGAGTAGAGAAAACTGGTTTTAATTTCTTATTCATGTTTATCAATAAAAGCTTAACTAAGAAGGGAATGTGAAAAGAAAAAGTATATATCAATTAACTGAGGATAGTGATAAAGAACTCAATTGGTACTAAGCAGAAAAATGAGGAATTAAAAAAAGTGTCCATACTTAGAACTGGCCACTTACGAGAGTGTCCATTAGCAGAGAGTTGACTGTAAAATAAATTGAGATCCTTCATTAATTAACAAATCTATCAAGGACTGTCTCCAAATCTTTACAAATTGTGCCTGGTTTCTTGAATAGTTAATTTTCAGCAAAATGAATTCAAGCTAAAAATTTTACAACTGCAATCATTAACCAACATCAAAACTCATGTATAACATATTTATTCAACCCTTCACCTTGCATGAATGACCAATACAGGAATTCTCCTTACAAAATATTAACACAACATCAAGCAGATATTGTAAGTGATATGAACAAAGGAAAATATCAGTTAGAGGATTATTAGATGATCCAATACCAAATTCTCCAAACTTACATCATAAGAATGGTATGGCAAACAGTAAGGAGAATTACTAAAGAGATCATGGGAGTGAAAGGGTCAAGGGAATGAGAGTGTTTATCTAAGAACAAAATAATGCATGTCCCCAAATGTGCACTGAATGCATTTGTTTCTTTTACAAACAATCAAGTAATGGTTAAAAAAACTCAGGGTTGACTTGCAAAAAAAAAAAATCAACAATTTTAAAAACCATGAATCTTCAATATAGGCTACCCTGTCTCAGTGCAATAAAAAAATCCTTATTTCCTTTTCAGGGCTCAATAATTTGCAAATATCAGAATTAAAAAATGTTGAGGAAGAAAAACTTTCATCTGAAAATATAACTTTCCATCTGTTAATCAAAACTATCACAAAATTCTTGAACATGATTGGTTATCATCAGCCCAATTTGAGCACCTATAGTACAGTGTATGTGTCATGCTTGTAATTGGACCATGTTATAGGATCATTAAAGGGACAATTATCATGTCATGCCTGTGGAAGGGGACAGAATGTGTGATGTGTGCACACTGTTGTCCTGCATTTTGTCGATTTAATTGTTGCTGTTGTTGTTGTTGTTTTTTATGAAAATGTATAATGGATGTCTATAGTTTCTTTCTCAGATTTTATTATATTGTAATTAATTGATAACAGTTGTCTGGTTTGTTAATCAAGAGTATTATTACAAACAGAATTGGACAACAGGAAGTCCTGTGAACAACCATGGCACGAACATGGATGGCCATGGTCTATCCATGGTCTTGACGCTAGAGTAATAAGCGATTATTGAATGAGGTTGAGCATGATATCAAAAAACTGAATCAAATAATTGTTTTATTACAATTTTTTAGAGGTATTCAGCTATTTTGAGCATCTCTCTAGGTTTGCAAAAGGTTGAGAACACTAAACTCTAAGGTCTTGGAAACTAGGCAGACATTGATCTCGAGAAGATAAATGCAGTACAAGCCTCAGATATTGCATTTTATCATGTCAACTTCACACACTATTGTATATTGATTGAATGCTCATTACCAATCAGCTCTTTCATTGTAAATCTTATGTATAATGATCAAAATTATTGAATATGTACAGGAAAGTACAAGAGACAACTGGCCATTTAATACTGGAATTGAAATTTTTTGGCTTGAAATGCACATTAAAAGTATGATGTGGTTACTTATAGATCTTACTGAGAACGATTGTTAATGAATCGCAAACAACTGAGCTCAAAGGTTTCTAAGAATTTGAATTGCATGTATCTTTTCTTTGTCAGAGTTTCCCCAGCCATACCCCTTGGATAAACTCAGTCACATAAGAATATTTGGCCTTTTCACACATCACAAAAATATCAAAGTTTTTTCACGCTCACGCATTTGAGACATTTCACATGAAAGTAAAAAGCCGAATTCCCTAACTAAATTTTCAATTTTCCTAGTCTTGACGAGTTTTAAATAACAAATGATGACAGAATGTCTTACATTATTTGTTCAAGGACCATTAGAGGTCTGGTTTATGACTTCTATTGATCCATATAAAGTTCATGTCCTGTTCAAACCCAGGTCAAAACTAAACCACAACCGTTCTTGAACAATTCATTTTCAAAACAATTAAAAAGCCGGGAATTCATCACGGAAAACAAAATGGTTCACGAGTCACGTTTAATTCAGTTCTTCACACTCGAGTCACGTTTAAATAAAAAACAATTACTTCACGCGAACATGAAAAAATCTTATTATCTCTAATCACGACTCAGGAATAAGGAAAAATTCAGATCACGATACACGAGGAAAAAAAACTCGCCCAAGCATGCTTCACGTAAAAAGTATAGGGGTCCTCTTGTCGATCACGGAAGCAGACAGCGGGCAAGTTTAATTTATTTCATCAAATACCTGACATACCTGCATTTAGATCATGCATTAATTTGGTTACTTAACAGATTTAAGAGGTTTTGAGTTCGTTTCTAACTTCTGCCAGATGAAATCAAGTACAATCCATGGAATTAAGCGAGTATTTTGTCATCAGTTCAAACACTTCCATTGCTTAACGTGAAAAACTGAAAACTAATCGACGTTGAACAACTACCAGACAGAATGATTAACGATCAGAGCTGATTGACGTCAGCACTAGAAGAAATAGTTTGTCCCCTAACTCTTTCCATTCTTATGAGAATCTTCTATCAAAACTTTCCGTTAAGGCCATCTTTACTCACAATCACTGTTTTCCTTTTCCCTGTTGCTGAGAGTTTATAACTTTAACCCGTCAGTTTCAGAAGGCCGACTGAACGCGCCTTTGTTTTACTTTATCAAAATCGTTTTGTCTTTGTGCTCTGCATTTGACAGGCGTCTCTAAAGTTGTAATATATCAAAAACCCATAACTTTAAATACAAAGGGAAACCAGCGAATATTGGAGATATCAGAGAGTGAGTGAACTGACAGAAATGACGGCTGAAGCACTTCAGGGGAAATGACTTCAGTTCGATCGAGCGGAGAGTGTGAGTTCTTAGCTGAATTATCTACGTTCGATTTGCAGGAATCTAGTGAGGCTACACTTTACAAATGAGCTAAATTCTTATGTATATTGAACATAATTCTTACATGTTAGCAAAGCAAGTAACAAGTGCAGAGAACAAACGGCAATCAAATACGGATTGAAGACAATCTAACTGCTCGGATCAGTAGGGACACTCCTTAATTAACATCCACAAAATACTTCAGGCTTCTGAAACGTCACGCGACTAAGGGCCTGTTTATAGGGAGTTACCATGCCGAAAAGAGCATAACGCATAAATTATGACTGATTATGCAAAAAGTTGCACTATTTATTTGTCACCTTCGTACTCGCACAGCACGCACAACTATGCAATTAGCATAAGCACAAGCACCGCGCTCTGTATACATTATAATGATTTCGTAATGAATTTATCAGTCATAACATGGAACTAAGCAAGTAACATGGTGGAAGCGGTTCTGGTTGATTATTTCTCAACGGATATTTGCATATAGCGATCTACAAGCCAAGTTTTCTCCGGTTTAAACCAAGATGACTTCGAACACACTATTTCCAGAATTCAAAACAACGGGAGATGAAAAGCACACCTGGAAACCTACATCGAAGTTTTGATAGATTATTGCGTAGTGCAGAATTGGTACGAAACATCGAAAGAAAGTGAAGCAGCCAAGTGGACGAATCACGATTCACGAATAAATAAATAAATAAATAAAGGAAAAAATCAAATCACGATCCACCAGGAAAAAAATTGTCCAGGGATGCTTTGCGCAAAAAGTATAGGGAACCCTCTTGTCAATCACGGAGGTAGATAGCGAGCAAGTTAAATTCATTTTATCAATCACCTGACATACCTGTATTTCAATCAAGCGAGTATTTTGTCATCAGTTCAAACACTTCCATTGCTTAACGTGAAAAACTGAGAAACTAATCGACTTTGAATAACTACCAGACAGAATGATTAACGATCAGAGCTGATAGACATCAGCACAGTCATAAACAGTTTGTTGCTTCATTCTCTCCATTCC